CCGCTGGCTGGGAGATGGCTGCAGTTTCAGCTGTGCCGGCAGAGGCTCTTCTGCACCAGGCTCGTCTTCCCTCTCTTCTTCTCCCAGCCCCTGATCTGCCTCTGAGATTTCAGTTTGCTCCTCTGCTGGTGCCTCCGTCTGCGTGGGTGTATGATAATGATTCAGTACTACCCATGTTATTTGTGCATTGTTAGTGGCCTTTTCACTGGACCAACTGTGAATTTGAATCTCGGCTGTTGTTGCTCACTCAATATGCAAACCTCTAGGAAGTTTTTCTGATTTTCAAGTGCTAAATTGTCAAAATGATCATATTTGAGATGCAATTTACCTTTCTTTACTGCAAAAAATGGTGTCCAATAATGTACAGGTAGAGGTACACCAGGTCTGGACCTGTGCGAAAACAATTCTACAGGCACAGATGTTAGGTTCACGCTCTATATATAAGACTGACATTGTACATTTGTACCTTAGCCCGTTTAGTAACAGGATGTGCATCTCCACCCTGCACGTCTGGAGCAGACATTTCCCTCTGCCGTTTCCCCGTGGGCGCCGCGTCCTCCTGGGACGGCTCTGGTGCCGTGGAGGGGCCAGGCTGAGGCTCGTAGGGGTGGGGAGGGGTGGCGGTCTGATCCACGGGGGTGGGGGTACGATCAACGGGGGTGGGGCTAACAGTGGCTGACGGCTGGATGTCTGTCAAAGTAAGAACTATGGATTAATTCCAGCAAGACAAGAAATGCAACTAAGCTAATGCAATAATTAAAAAACTTTTGTTACATATAATGAGATTATTGCTATTTCCAAATTACTATCATATTTTGTCTGACCGTAACCTCTTTCCTGATGATCTCAATAAAATTTGAATGTTTCATTATGATTATCAACAAATGAAAGCTCAAACAAACAAACAAACAAACAAACCTTGCACTTCTGCTTGCACCCCACTGACCACTGAGTGTTGCTGGGTAGGCTGGACGAAGGCCGTGGCCTGCTGAGTGGATGTGGCCTGGACCACTGCCATGGTGTTGGTCACTGTTACCACACCTGACCAAACAGACATCATAGCACATGGTAAAAACTACATGTATATTTCAATCACATTTGTAAGTCACCATTGCACTTTAACGATAATGTTTGAAGCTGCATGATAGGCAAGACAAATTTTGTAACCTTCAGTGTACATGTAGATATAAAGTGGTGTGACAATACAATGGAGTTAAAGTTTACAAAGTGAACAGAAAAAAGTTAACCTGAGACAGGTGCCACAGTGAACACCTCTTGAGTGTCTGCTTGTGTTGTTGGCATGACAGTGGCAGTGGGGGTCATGCTACCAGAGGGGTGGGGGTC